ACCCAAGCTGTACAAATAGACGAGCACCTATGTGCGCACGTGTGAGATGTGTGAGAAGTGTCAACGGGTGAAATCCTCTCCAAATGCAGCTGCGCTGCTGGCCAGCTTACCGGTACCCACAGGGTTCTAGCAGTCCATGGGTTTGGACTTTGTGTTTGGCCTGCCGAAAGATTCGGCGGGAAACACGGGTGTAGTTTGGATATGTCGACAGCGGATCATCCGCAGACCGACGGCCAGACCGAAAGGGTGAATCGCGTCATCGGAGACGTTCTTCGTAGCTTCTGCACTGGGACGCGGAGACGCCGAGGCGCTGGAGCGCCATCTTGCCACTCGTAGAATTTGAGCTGAACAATGCAGTGCATTCGTCTACCGGTTTCACGCCGTTCTACGTGAACGGGCTAGTTCACCCTCGCGTCCGACTGACGCCGCCATCCCATGGCTCAGGGCTTGGTGGGGGAGGGATGGCCGAACGGCTAGCTGATGTCAGCCTCCTCACCATCCGCAACGAAGTCGATGGCTTTTTGTCTACCAGACTCAGTGTCCTACAACACGTTCGCGATGCAATGGCTGAAAGCCAAGACCTGCAGAAGGAATATGCAGATGAAAAAGGAAGAGACAAATTGGAAAGCTTTAAGGTGGGAGATCTACGTGCCCGGTTATGGTATTTATGTTCATGACATTATCGTAACTCAAAGAGTACCAAGCAGATAATTACCGGTACAGTATAATAAACTTATTTATTTTCGTCAAATAGTTCAATTACTGACGTATGGTCGTGCCGTGGATACATGGAGCTCTGCGGCTTTGTTATTGCTACTTGTAGCTACTAGTAGGCAATCTACTAGGCTCAGGATAATTGAAGAACAAGCCACTTTTGATGCTGTATTTTCCGAGCTGAGAGTTAGAATACACCTAACTCCATAAACCAACTAGGTTAACCCGACCAGCATTTTATGTATTATACCCATTAGTAGAAATGATCGTATGCAAGCTGTTTCAGATACTGTCGAAGTGGATTTGAGCTAATTTCAGTCCTGCGAAGTTCTGCGGTGTACATATGTACGTAGTTGCTGCCACCATCGCGTTTGATTCTTAGCGAATTCCCTTGAGATCTTGTCGCTCGTGTTTTAATGAACCACTTTATCAGAATGATATATATCACCTTTCCTCGGAATATAGCACACGTCAATATGTCCATAGAGTTCATTTTCTAATACTCCAGTGTTTCGTTTAAGAACTAGACACATTTTGGCTGTCATCTCTGATCAATTTCGAAACCCTAATTACGACCACCTCTCCCGTCCACGGCGTCTGAGCAATCTTGCCAAAGCGGCGTCTCAAACTCCTACGAGTTTTTGGATTCGAGATATCCCGCCACCTCACCAGATATTGGGTCTGAACCTGGTGACGACGTCGTCCCACTGGACGTTCCACGTGATAGTAGACATTACTGTTTTCATCGAGATGAGTCAGTGGCGGGCAGTTACAACCGGGTCTACCGCCATCCGGTGACTCGCAGTGCTCTTCGAGGCCTTGAGGATGAGATCCTTCGTGATCGGAGCTCCGCTGAGCGTCATGCTGAAGTAGCATATCGCTGTGCGGACGCTTTTGATGATTTGGAGCGCGTCGTGCGCTAGCTGTCGCTCCTTGAGGGCTACCGCGCTCTGTCGGAGCGTCTCCTAGCCCTGGAGCAGGCGAATGCGTCGCTGTAGGCAACGGTAGGGCGCTTGGCTCCGTTGGAGATGGAGGTTGTTGCATTCCGTGCTCAGAATCAGTTTCTGGTTCGGTTTCTGGGTGGCCGGGGGCCCGTGGGATCCGCTCTGGCGCCAACGCTTCTGCGTTCACATGCGCCGGATCCCGATACAGCTTGAGCAAACCCACGTTAAATACCGGGTGGGTGCCCTTCCGTTCGGGAAGGTTTCGCGTATACGCTAGGCCCCGCTTGACCACAACCTTAAACGGTCCGATAAACTGTGGACGAGGCTTCTTTCGGAAGATAGCAGAGGCTACATGTATAGGAAGGTTTTTGGAGTTTAATATAACCAAAGCTCGCCCCTGGCGAAAGCTCTACAGATGACGAAGCGCTCTTTGAGCGACGGGTGCAACGGCACCGCAAATTTTCCTCACTGTATGCCTTACGGTTGAGCCACAAGGAAGTAGACGTGCGTGTGGGGCGACACCTCCAATTTGAGTTTGCCAAACTCAAAGCACGCGGTCAGCTCCGTTCGGGTTGTCGCCCTGCGACGTTTGGGTCAACCCCTAACGCCCCTCGTTGGGGATGTAAAGGGGGTCGACTACGAGTCAAACACTCTTTGTTAGGATGAAATGACGAGGAAGGCGAGCCGCACCAGTGGCGTAAGACAAGCTCTGCTCGCGCCTTGCGGACCCCATGTCCGTTTCCTGACTTCTCGTCACCTGAGGAACGCAGTGTAATCACCAATGACTTCGACGGGGCAGAGAGGCGGCAGCTGAAAGCTGCTCGTAAGGCGGCTCTGATGCGCGCCCATCCACAGTCTGTTATTAATTCTCGTGTGGAATATGGCTTCCGCCCGGCGGATCCTGCTGTGGAAGCGAAGACGTGGTAACTCGATCGATACGCCTCCACACCATCGGACCCCCGGCCATTACGGAAGATGAGCTTGTCGAATGGAAAGCTCTTCGAGTTCTTTCTTGGTTTCACAAATTTTCCGTTGTAAGTTTATCGCACTCGTCTACGTGCTCAACGAGGTGGCTCTCGTGTACCCGCAATGCGGA